TCTGGAGTGGAGGTACTTACTAATTAAACCTACAAAATATATTGAGCTTGTTTTGGAACTTCAGCAGAGACAGCAGAGCCCATCTAACTTATGAGAGGAGACATAAATCCAGCACTCCAGTCACTTATGGAATAGGATTGAAGATGGGATGACACAAATGAATTTCCATTCCAGGTCTGAATACAAAGTCATGTTTGCTTCAACCAGAATTACTATTGCCTACACTTCATAAAATGTACTTCAGCTTCCCACAGTTTCAGGTATGCCCCAGGTAGGAATATGATCACAGCATCCTGGGTTAAACTACAGCAGTCACTTTGGGGGAAAACAGCCAATGAACTCAACTGTATGCTGTTGCCTGCTATATAACACTTTTATAGCTCACCAGCTAGATGTCTTCAGGTCACCAGCAACCAACCCTGACTTACATCACCCCAACAAAGAATGAATTTGGACGAAACCAGATGAGCTCAGCAGTGACCAGACGAGTTCGGTGGTGTCATCAGCAGGCAACAACCCAACACTACACACCGTCCCTCCTGCCCTGAGAGACTGTGACAAGGAATGGAGCCTGACATCACGGACTGGATGAATTCAGCAGCTTTATAGGGGTTGGTCCATGGACTAAGGAATGATATCTCTCTCTTTGTGTGTGCGTGTGGGTGCGTGTATGTGTGTGTATATATACATATATATATATGTATATGAGACAAAAGCGATGGTATATTGAAAAATGTGGGATCTGAGCGTGACATGAATGGTACGGAATAAGGGGTGGTCACCGTCCTGGGTTCAGCTACAGCAGTCATTTTTTCTTCTCCTTAGTAGCTGGTGCAGTGCTGTGTTTTTGACTTTCAGCCTGGGAACAACAACGATAACACCGATGTTTTTGGTTGTTGCCAAGTCCTCTGACCAAGGACTTTCTCAGTCTCATGCTCTGCCAGGGAGGAGGGGAACCGGGGAGGAAGCAGAGACAGGACCCCTGACCCAAACTGGCCAAAGGGCTATTCCATACCACAGCACGTCATGCCCAGTATAGAAACTGGGGCAAGTTGCCCGGAAGGCCCAGATCGCTGCTCGGGCTGGGCTAGGTACTGGTTGGCAGGTGGTGAGCAATTATATCATTATTACTATTTATCATTATATTATCATTATTACTATTGGTGGTAGTAGTAGTTGTTCTGTATTATACCTTAGTTACGGGACCGTTCTTGTCCCAACCCATGGGAGTTACATTCCTCCGATTCTCCTCCCCATCCCTCCAGGAGCAGGGTGAGGAAGAAGGAGGGATCGAGTGAGTGGCTGCGTGGTTCTGAGTTACGGGCTGGGCTTAAACCAAAACACACAGACAGATCTGCAGTGGAGAATCCAGTATTTTTTATTTCTATCTGCCCCAGCCTTGTAAAAACAAATACACAAACCTTCCGGAAAACATTGCTGAAGACCTTCTCATTCACTTATTATGAACTTGAAGCAAATGATCTCATCATCTGCTTGTATGTCCTGAGGTCCCAGCTGAGTAAAACTCCAAAAAACACATATGCACCAATTTCAGATATTCCCCCACCTTTCTAGTTCAAATAGGAAATGCCTTAATTATTAACTGCTCTGTTACAGCCAAATGGATATATTTTAAAAGGTAATGTGAAAATAAGCATCTTCACATGCAAGATATACTAACTAATCCCTGTCCTAAAATTACAGAAGTATAACTGCCAGTAACACCAAATCTCACTTGTGACTAAAAGGGGTTTTTTCCCCACTTCTTGAATTCCAGATGGTCTACTCATTGGTACCAATAAGGAAAAGTAGACAAGTTGCTGCTGAAACGTCCTTCTTCAAGTAAGAGGGGATTGGATCTAAAGCCCCAACATCAAGCAGGTAGAAAGCTCCAGCTGCAGTGGTCCCTCAGATGCAGTATGAGGGATGCTGGAGGCAAAGATATGAAACTGTATACAGTATCCTGGATATAATTTCTAATCAGTTTGTCTGGTTTTGCTCAGCTTGTCCTCAAAGGCAGATATACAGATAAAGCAGGGGTGGGGAAGGAAGAAAACTGAACCAAAGATAAAGACTTCTCACACATACTCCTGTCTGTGCTCCCTATGCATAGCTGATGAGGAGGAATCATCAGAAATGGCCAACAGATTATGGGTATGTAGATAGCACTTTCTCCTCTAAAGTTCCTCAGAAAGATTCATTCTGAAAACAGAACAGCAGAGATTGTATGGGTGCTTCTTTTTATGTGTACCTTGAGGAATTATTTGCCTCCATCAGGGATCCAGCAATTAATTCCTTTCATAAGAAAAGCCTTTCTACTGAATTCAAGTTTTGAATTCCAGGAGACATTTTTCAATTGCTGCTATGGTCACTGACAGAGCTGCTGTATTAGCACTATATAAGCCACCTACAGGAAGTTGTTCACACCAGCAGCTGTCTCTCACTAAGAATGAAAACATGCCAAGAACAGATAGGAATGAAACCCTAAAACTCAGGACAAACTCAAAAGGCAGATCTCGTACCTGTCAACCAACACTGGTAATAGCCTATTCTAAAATTACTAATAGCCAAGGAATAACAGCATCTTCCCAGACTCCAGTCTTTGACCCAGCAGAAAAGCATTTTTCCTGGGTCATATAAGGTTACTTTAAACTTAGTCCTACAGTAGTGGGTGTCACAAGGAATTATCTATGGGTTAATAAATGTTTGGAAACAGCAGAAGTGAACTGAGTCCATTTAAAGACCAACACACAACGAAGTACCAACAGTGTTAAACTGTAGAGCTAGTCATCTCATTCAGCAGATTTCTCCATTCACATGAATCTTACCTTCTTCTATCTGCCTTATAAAAAAACCCAACCCACAAGCATCATTAGCTTTGGCAGCAAAACATCAACTACTACTTCATCACAAAAATTTTCAGTACCAAAAGCAAATTGTGATTTACACTTACAAAGACCATTCTGTTAGCAGCTATTCCTGAGCTGAAATTTCTTTCCCTGATTTAACTGAGCAAAAATTGTTAGCTGACTTGAAACTCTGTTTTAGTCTACCTAAATACCTGCATTCAGCTCTGGGGCTGAATGTAAGATGGATGTGGACCTTTTGGAGGCCATGAGGATGCTCAGAGGGCTGGAGCACCTCTCCTATGAAGACAGGCTGAGAGAGCTGAGATTGTTCAGCCTGAAGAAGACTCCAGGGAGGCCTTAGAGCAGCTTCCAGTGCCTAAAGAGGCCTACAGGAAAGCTGGAGAGGGACTTCTTACAAGGGCATGTAGCGATAGTACAGAGGACAATGGTTTTAAACTGACAGAGGGGAGATTTAGATCAGACATTAGGAAGAAATTCTTCCCTGTGAGAGACGTGAGTCACTGGCAAAGGTTGCCCAGAGAAGCTGTGGCTGCACCACTCCTGGCAGTGTTCAAGGCCAGGCTGGATGGGGCTTGGAGCAACCTGGTCTAGTGGAAGGGGTCACTGCCCACAGCAGGGGGTTGGAACTGGATGAGCTTTAAGGTCCCTTCAACGCAAACCATTCTATGATTCTGTGATTCTAAATTATCAACAGACACACCGAAATCTTAAGTGGTCAATAAATAAAAACATACGAATGAAATACCATGCTCTACCAACAACTCCCTTTTTAATAATTTTCAATATACTGAAACAAACTGCACTGAAGAAAACTGAAAAGGAAGGGTGAGAGCTGTTTTGAGGACAGATGGGCATTACTTTTAGTCTAAGGCTTGCCTCAGAAATGCAGCATCTCTAAGAAGGAATAGCACAAATTCAGAAATTACAGAAACAAAATTATGAACTGGTATAGTTCAAATAATAAAACTCAGTAGTCTTGTAAGACTTTAAATTTATAATTAAGCCCTGGAATTACAGCATATAGCCGCACAGAGTGCAGTATTAATCTCCACTCAGAAGCAGTGTATTTTTTGAATTATACAAATACAGCAATTAGATATTTCTTTAAGTCAGAAAGTTTGCTTTTTAGCTAGAAGAAATGTCATCATATTACTAAAGCAATGCACTTGCCACACATTGTCACACACTAAAAAGAGGTACAAAATCCCAAAAGTGATTCAAAGAAACCCAGACTGACAAAGGACTGTACTGCACAGAGGTTGCACTGCTGAATAGAGTGCTATGAACATTAAACTTACTGAATTTCATACATCTTTGAAAGATACAACTAACAAGCATCTGAAAAAAAACAGCTAGAGCCTGATTTTATGGTATGACTGACAGTTCTTAGCATACTAAGTTTAACAATGAAAGAAGAGTAAGACATTGCAAATTCTATTTTCTTGGTATTACCTGAATACTATTCAATACAACAATAAAACTCATCAACCTATTTTACAGATGGTAACTACTCACACAACTGAGAACATTTCTGAGCATTCCAAAGACTGTAATAAACTCAATTTCATAAACTTAAACTTCAAAAGTTAACTTAAAAACTAGAAGAGCCAGATTAATATTGCTTCCTCTGTTACAGTTTCAAAACTATTTTTGAAAAAGCATTAAGAGTACCAATATAAGAAAGGGTACTGGCAAAATACTTTCTTATTAGTCTTAGAGCATTAATGTCTGTGGTATTTGGGAAAGGACAGATCATTACCACTGCATATTCTTGCAAAATATCATACATCTATCTTACTTCAGTTGCAATTGTGAAATATCACTGTGTAACAGCATAAAATTCATACACAGCATAACTCTTTTTGATCTCACAAATTTAATTGCAAAATAATTTATGCTAATTAGAACATTTCTTAAAATAATGTGAAAATAAGCACTTCTGTGATCTTTATAGAAATCACTACCATGCCACAGTGAACACAACATCTTTCAATTACAATTTTTAATTATTCAAGTTACATTACAAATATTAATTTAAGTGCACACAAAGAAAACCTTCCTAAAAACTTTATCTAGAAGTATGCCATAAACAGCAAAACATTCTGAATAGTAATTAATGCATGTTCTCACCTTCACTGGAAGTCTGGAATTCTCAAAGATCTTTGCAATGGCAGATAAAATACCACACATGAGTGCAGATATCAGCATCATCACTCCAACTGCTGTGAACCAGGACATACTGCAGAAATAGCATAAACTTTCTGCCGATGTGCATACAATGACGTGAATTGCACAAAGCATCAGACACACCAAGTAAAACAGCAGGGAGAATAGTGGAGGGGAAAGTGGCACTTCAAATTCTGCCCGACTGCTCAGGGCTTTTGGAATACTAAGCAAAAGCAGCAGCAGAACCTAGAATAAAATAGAGAATTAATACTTAAAGAATTTGGGTCAGCTAAAACATACACTGAGAATTCACACACGCAAAAAACAATATCATACTGTTGCAATCCGTGTCATTCTGCTAATACATATACTTCATCAAAGAAAAAAAAAATCTGTGAAGAACTACACCGGATTTTTTTGTCCCCAGTAAGATATTACCGTATAAATGGAAGAACTAAAGATTGTTTTTCATTTATTAAGGGCTTGGACATACAAGTTAGCAGAGTTCAATAAATTACTGTACACCTCCTTATCTGTGGTAACTGATCACATGCCTGATCTTCATTCCCTGCAAAAGTAAAAGGTTTAACACTCAATATCAAAAGAGTTCCTAAGTGAGCAAATATGACCTATTATTTGTCACCTGTAAATGCCTTAAGTTACATACACACACTGCCAAAAAAGCCATTTATCTCACAAGGTATGAGATACACATACAGAGAGACCCTGCCAGACCAGGGAAAGTTCTCATACTATCACACAAGGGTATGTTGTAATTCAAGCTTATTAATTCTCCTGGTATTTATTTTTTGTACCTCTCCTCATCTTCATTTGATTGATTGCTTTTACATTCACTTTGCTCTAACCTGCACACAGACCAGGAAGAATTCAGTTTCCTCTCAAGTTACTGCAGCAGTAGAGATGAATTAGATCATGAATAATTTCTGATACCCATGTACAAACCTTTACAAGTCAAGGGAAAATGCTATGCAAGGGGCACATATGGAGCTAGGACTAGACTGAATTCAATCACATTGAGCTAGGGCAAAATTAAAACAAATCAAGATAAAAACCATGTCAGACCATTGCCAAACTATAATCTTCACTATCACTTGGAAGACTTCTGCCTAAAATTTTTCCTGTAACACAGCAGGGTAAAGTAGACCAAAAAAATCCAGTGCAATGCACCAGTCTTCCTTCTTCTTCACATTCTACTTCATACAGTTCACTTGGTTATGAAAATGTAAGGTATCATAGCACCAAACTGGCTTAGGTCTTAGCCTTTAACACCACACTTAAAACATAGACAGCATACCTGACAGGAAAATGCTTGAATCGTAGTTATCTACAAACCTAAATTTAGTTCTTTTGAGAAAACGCACTGTTACCAATTCACATCCTAGAGGTATTATCCTCATCTGAAATGAAGGATAAATTACATTTTTAGGGTGGTGTAGTTTGAAGTCACCTGTGAGATTCCCCACCCTTATTTATTCAGTAGAGGTTGGAAAATACATATCAAGACAAAAAGATTTTATAAAGCAAGGTAGTTTCTTGAGCACTGAACCGGAGGAAAGAAAACATTCCTGCAGTTTTGCACCAAGTCTTACAGTGATGGTGAGCAAGCTCTTCTCAATGAAAATTTCCATGGTTAATAGCGGCATGTTTCTTTTGATGAAGGCCCATTGAGTAAAATACCTGGTATCTGTTTTGGAAAAGCAGTAAGCACCTACAACTGCATTCCAGGAAAAAGAAAAAAAATAAAACCAATGTTTCAGGCCTAAGGTAACAGTCAAGAGTTTGAATGTATAGGTTCTCAAAACAAAGGAACAAAATATAAGCACTTAAGCTTGACACTGAGGTTTGTCCACCTCTGTAAAGTGGGAACTGAACCTATCATCCATGTTCTAAGGGCACTGTGGAACTAATTCCTGTGAAGTGGTTAGCAGAGTGATAAACCCCACTGAGCAGTCTACCAGAAAACCATTTCAGATGTACTCTGTACATAGAACAGTGCATACAGAAAGCATAAAGCCTTGCCAGGACAAAGACGACTCAAATACTAAATAGCTGTTTATGCACTGTTATCTGTTCCAGGCACTGAACAGGACCATTGTTACAGCAATTACAGAGTTTTGTACAACACTACACACTTGAATAGACTAAAGTAAGCTTAGAGTAGGTATTTCCACAGAACAAGGGAACAGTGTTTATCCTTACAAAAGTTGAAACTCTGAAAGGTCAGTGAAAGCTCTGGTACATAAAAGTTCAGTGTCCATGCCCATTATCCCTTAAGCATGATTCTCAAAGGATTCCCACAGAGGGTGTTTTCTAGCATTTGAGATTTGACCAAATTACCAATTGCAGACAACTACTTAAGATTCCAGACATGTGATATCTTATCTTTCTTCTTACATGAGATATGAAGTGGTAATCCAGCACCTTACAGCAAGTATTTATTTCAGGGCTCTACACCTATCAGTACGAAGAACAACTAACTCTTAGAATTGTGAAAATTTACCATACAAGGTATTGCTTGTTCTGAGCAGCTATGCTCACTATTAGATAAAGAGGACAGGTAGGGAGGTAGGGACTTATTTGCCAGATTTTTGATTGTTTTCCTTTTTTTTTTTTTAATGCAGTAAGGCTACTCAAAACATAGAAGGCTAACTAATACGGCTAGTCTAAGTCACAGCACATCTGCATATTTACTGTAATTAAGTAGCTTCTATCAAAAGCTTTCTTGAATCATTTTAAAGGCAAAGTCCTACTTCAAAAAAAATATTAATCTCATCCAGCCAGAAAGTCAGCCATATCTAAGAGTTCATACTCAGTAATTCTAAAGACCAATAAAAGCATACACTAAGTAGTCAAAACCAAGAAACTACTAAGTTTGTGCACTTAGCTTTTTCACAGAAATATATGTTTTCCTACCTCCATAATGATCACAGTCCCAACCATCATCGAATACATGTCATATTGTGCCACTTGCTTGCTTAGTGAAGAACTCAGAGTCTTCAGGGCCTCCAAATATTGCTTCAGAACTTTTTTGCCAAGATTTAAGAGTATTTCTGAATTATTCCCCTCTAAATACAGTTTGATCCAACTGGCATGGGACTTTTCTGCTATCTTAAAATGTTCATATCCAGGATCTAAGGAGGAGGGGGGAAATTAAAAAGAAAAAAAAAAAATGTAAGAGGATCCACAAACAAAGAAAGATTAATAAGAGATGTGGTATTTTGTTTTGTATAGTATATTTTAAAAAATTGCTATGAGGGTTGAAATGTTTTTCACACCTAGAATGCTACATTGTCTTTCTGCAGCAAGGCCATAATGAGCCAGTTCCTCAGAATAAAAGCAATTAATCACTAACCTGATAAAATGTCAAGACTTCTAAAAGTGACAAATTTATTAAAACATCCATTTACCCTTACAAAAGGTTTCCAGGATATACTTATTCAAATACTTTAAATCCGGGGGGGGAAGTAATATTTTCCACTGGAACCCCTCTTATCCAGGCCAAATTGTACAAACCAAATGGGAAATGATCAAATAGGCAACCTCAGGAAGAAACACCAAAGGACATACACATCATATCAGGGACCTCGAGCTTGCAGCAAAACTAGGGAGAGTTTGTTGCTAACATGAAGTTAAACATACAGGATGTGAGATTTTGAAGCAGTAATAGAAAAGTTAACTGTTGAAATGCGCAGTTTGGCTTCAGGCATTTAGGCTTTGAAGCTAGTGCAAAGCAATCCTCGGAGTGAAACTTAGTATTTATGCCATAGTGTTAAGTATGGCCCACAGTCTAACTTGATTAAAAAAGAGAAAACCTGATGGCTGCCACCAACCTGTGCAAGCAAGACCCTTGTGGCAGAAAGTGATTTCACAGTGGCCTATCTACAAAAAAAAAAAAAAAACCAAAACACAAAACCTGACCCGAAGAAAAATCAACAAACAAACCAATTAAAAAAAAAAAAAAAGGCCAAATAAAAACCAAACAATAAACTAAGAAAACCTCAGGAGGAGGAAAACAAAAAAAACAAACAAAAACCACAACCTCCAGGACACATATCTTTTGTCTATACCTAAGTAATATTTTCTTCAGAAATGTAGTTTTGATTAAGTCTTCTGATAAAGGTATGGGTAAATGGATTGTAGCTGTACACTCACAACACATACTAAGACTGTAATCTGGTGATCTAGTTTCAGAACCACAGATGAGGACATGACTAGCCCTAGACTATGTCCCTGAAGGAATTAATTTTAAATCAAGAATTTAATTCTAAGGATTCAGTTTTCAATTCAAGTATGCTTTTTCATATAGGTACAGAGACACTACAGTTTCTTTTCTTTCTCATACTGCAGAAAGATGTCTGCATTACTCTCTTCTCTCCAAACATATTTTAAAAGCTTGACTGAGGACAACAGGAGAGAAGCAAACAGCCAAATCCCACATTTCAGACGTCCTTTGCAAGTACAGTAGTAGCTTTCTTCCTACATAAATTCCCCTCCATAGATATTCCAAAGATACCTTACTTTACACCATCGTTCTGGTTCACACGTACCAAAGGGTAGGTGTGGAGAGATACTGATTCAAACCAATTCAAAGGAGACATGAAAGTACTTTACCATTTCGTTCTCCCATCAACTAATCTTAATTTTCATCAACTTTCCCATTACAAAATATTTACACAAAAAGCTGCTGCACAAAATGCTGAGTCTCAATAGCCTGCTTACTTCGCAAAAATATATACTCAGCAGTGACAACAACCAGATTCTGCAGGTGAAAACAGAAGAGCATCACTTTGTTCACATATTTAAAAAAAATACAAGTGGTCATTACAAGCATATAGTTAAAAGAAAAAAAAATTAAAACCATTTCTGCCAGAATTATTATTGTGGATCCTACATGCATCTGAAGAGCATTCTATTCACCTTATGTCAGTTTAATTCCAAAAGCATTTTTTTTAAATAGAACAATTAGGTTAGTTTCTGTGTTTTATTGTATATGTGAAAAATTATGTTGTTCCTGAAAGCACTTAAGACATGTTTTTCCTTTTCACTTTATAGGGGCATCACTCCATACTCCAACATGCCGTATAGTATTTAAAATATTGGTCATTGTGTATAGTATACAATCAGATTCATTCAGTGTGCATTCAGTCAACAACACAAAGAAAACAGGAGCATAACTTTCAGAAACTTGTATCTCACTGGACATTATGCTATGTGTGAACATTCACATACATCTTCATTGTTTGCAAAAAATAAATGTTTAGTTCTCATTAACAATCCTTGCTATTTCCCTGCAATTTCACTTGAAAGCTAATGACAACTTAAGGGAAAAAAGGACAATTTGGAAATTTCAGATTTAGATAGATGTCATCCTCCCATCTTGCAAAACTTACGTTCTTAACTAAAAGTAGGGCAACACATTTGCTGTGTAGTTTCAGACGACAAGGGTTAAAGCAATGACTGAAGTAAGTTTGGTGTCAAAAGAAGTTAAGTTACAGTTCACTTTTACTCCTGGTAGATCAACAGTATATCAGACTTTGGAAAAAACCACCATGTTCTTTGCTAAGCCTTTGCAGCAAAAATGCATTATTAAACCCGGAAATTCTAAATTTTATTTCAAGTGAATGAAGATGAATGAAGTATTTCTAGTCACAATTCTAGTACAGTTATGAAAGAACTGTGCTTACCATTTGTAAGTCTCTTATCATTGCAAGACAATTTGTGATCTACTACAGGCTGAATTCAAAGTAAGAATTTTAGAAAGTAATGTTTAACTGAATGTCCAGTTTAGTCTCCCAAGACATCTAAAACCATGCTGATTCTGCTATGCAAGAGGCTTGCAGGTATATGCTAAAAACTACAATTCAGGCAGCAGCAAACACTTGCATATTAAGATAGCTGTCAGTGTTCATGGGGACTTTCATTGTCCTACAGTAATTCTTTGAAAAGTGAATACCATAGAAAGTTTCATTATCAGTATATCTGAAGTGAGTTAAATATTCATACTTTTGAGGAAATCCAGAAATCCAGAAAGGATCTTCTAAAATGAGCTTTAACCAAACTCACCTGAAGATTTGAAATGACACTATTCAAACTCAGATTTGAAGTGACACTATTTCATTAAACAGAACACTGAAATGAGTTCAAGTTACATTTTGAAATATAAATAAATTATCTTCAGATATTCTGTTCCTGTTCTGCTCCCTTTTCATGCTCAGTTTCTCTCTTTATTCCTTTTAAGATCTTTATTTCATTCTCATCTACCTATGCAATGGTTTGGGTTGGAAGGGACCTTAAATATCATCTAGTTCCAGCCCCTGACCGTGGGCAGAGACACCTTCCACTAGATCAGGCTGGTCAAGGCATCCAGCCTGCCTTGAAATCAACCTTAAACCAATCTCCTTCCATAAAACTGCACACCAGACCCATACTGTCCATGTTATGAAAGATGACTGCTTTAGTCAAATCTACATTTATATCTTTGATATATATTAAGTAAATGATTTAAAGATCCTGCAGAAAAGAATAAAGGACCATAGCTACCAATTTTCATTTGAAAACTCCAATAATAATCTGTTCAATGACACATTTGTTTGCAGTAAGCATAAAATGAGAAGGGTCATAGACTCCGGATTATTGAAGAAGTATTATGGTATCTGGTCAGTAACATTTGCAAGTCATTCCTGTATGGGATATTCACAAGACAAGTTAAACTTGGAGCAAAATCCAAAGCAAGCTTGCTGAGCTACAGGATTCGCAAAGCACTGGCAATGGTTTACTTGCATAGTACTTCACCAGCAATTTCTGCTTCAGCAGCGTTATCACAAGCAAATGGCTCTGCTCCTCAAGCATCTGTTTGATAATAATTTCACTCAGTTCCACTCACAGGCAGCAATCATTTTAAAAGAAAGTTAAAAGAAGAGAATGGATAACATACAAGTGATTCTTCCAGTTTCAATACATAAATCTCCCAGTAACAATCAATTTATTTCAATCAACACATGCATCTAATACAAATTCAGGATTAGTTCCAAATTGAAAAGAGACTCATTTTAATAACAACACCCAAATAGCCCTCAGGCGTGACTCTTCATTCCACTATGAAGTGCCTTTCAAAGAAACGATCCTGTAACAATCCTACTTCCATCTTTCAGGTGCATGTTCACAAGTTCAGAACAAAGGAAGCACTACTACTTACACCTGCCTACCTTACACTCTCTCAGAGTTTCTAGATACTTCCCCTTTCAGCTTCTTCATTTCTGCCAGCTGTTTTTACTCTCCTTTTCCAGCTTTTATTTAGCTGCATGTGTCCATCTCTACAAAAGAAAAGCTAATGCCTCACATTAGCATTTATTAGTATGTTTCAAAAAAATCATTCTCAAGATAATGAGGCCTTTAGTAGAGCTTCAAGTTTCTCATTCAAAATTTACCTCAAGATAGGTTTAACCATGAAGATTCCTCTGTACCTCAAACCTTAAGACCCATGAAATGCTGTACAAGCTCTTGGTTTCAAAATGCATGTTTGCATGAACAAACACTGGGGGAAGAGGGAGGAAGTTACTGAGCTGCTTCCATTCTGCTCTTTATTAAACAGATACAGTGAAAGCACACTTGAAGAATATGGTATTTTTGTGTACTGTTCTAGTTTGTACTTAACACTGGAGTGGCTGAATCCAGGGCACTCTACGGCTTCTTCATAAAACAGCATGTAAAGGTCATTCTGCCTTTCCACCTGATTGTGATTCATCTCAATCAACATCCAACTTCATCATTTTCCATTTAAAAGGGAATGAACATTGCACCAAGAATGAATGTATATATTATGCTATAGCTTACAATGGGTGATTTATTTTTTTTTACCATGACTCAGTCATCATATTCAAGGTACTGATAGATGGTGCCCTATCTCCGTGCTCCGAATTACAATAGTCTCTGCAGGAATTCCGTGTTTTCCCCTTCAGAAAAACCTACTCTTTTTGTGCTGAAAAGTTGAAAAATAATAACAACTGGGGAGAAAAAAAATAACAAAAACAAATTAAAAAAACCCCCAGCAACAAAGTTCAGGCTCTCCCTGCAAATATCTTTCACTTTAAAAAGAAGCTCCAGTCACAGGCATCTCTCTTATCATTTATCTGAAATGTTATGATCCACCAGTTGTTACTAGCCAAGAATCAGCACAGGAAAGCTTGAACCTGTAGCAGCAAATGTGAGGGAGATGTCTAACTGGGTTATCTTCTGGAGTTTCTTTCTCTCAAAAAAAAAAACAAACGTAGACACCTTGCCTGTGGAAGAGATGGTCTGGCCCAAGACTTGTCAGCACAACTCTAAGGAGTGTCCCAAAGGTGCACAAACAAAACCCAAAAGCTCACAGCAGGATATGCTATAGCAGCTTGCTCAGAACTGTGTCCAATCAGGTATTCAGTATCTCCAGGTATGGAGACTCCACAACCTCTCTGGGCAACAAATTCCACTGCTTGACAACCCTTACTTGAAAAAGATTTCTCTTCCATTTAAACAAAATTTCATGTACTACCAGTTTATGCCCACTGCCTCTTGCCTATTCACTGGTCAACACCAAGTAGACCCTAGTTCAATCTTCTTTACTCCCTCCCATCACATACTACCTACACTGATACAATCCCTGCCAAGTCTTCTATCCAAGCTAAACAGTCCTATCCAAGCTGAACAGAGCACCCTAAGCCTCTCCTTGTATAACAGATATTCCAATCTCTTGATCACCTCCATGGTCCTTTGCTGCATTCACTACATTGATTACACACATGCCTTTCTTTTACTGGGGAGCCCAGAACTGGACCCCACATATGCCTTCCTTCCACATGGGTATACTCCTGGCTGATGTTCAACTTGGTGTCTCCGAGGGTCCCTTGTTCTTCTCCACCAGTCTGCTTTTCAGCCAGTCAGTACCATATCACTGAATCTTAAGAGGTTGTTCTCAGCCCTCTTCTCCAGCCTGAAGTGCCTTTGAGTGGCAGCAGACCCATCTACTGTATCAACTGCTTGCAAGCTTGCTGAAGAGGTACTCTGCCCTGTGAGCCCAGCAGCTGAGTCAGTTCTCAATCCATTCTTACTATCCCATTATCTAGCCTAAATTGCAAGAGGATGGTTGAAGCACCATATGAGCAACACAGATAGTGAACATGGGACTTCCTCAAGTTGTCGTAAGTTGTCTTCTCAAATTGTCCCAAGACTTCTTCCCAGGAGGCTGTCTGTAGCAGACACCCATAAAAATGTTGCCCCATGTTTGTCTGTCCACTAATCCTGAATTGTTAATGAGACTCTCCATTACTGAAGACAGAGAAGCTCATCAGGGGTGCTTTGGCTCCCAACCCCTTTCCAGTATGGTAGCACTTCTAATAGCAGTTTGCAGTGACAAGCAAGCAGCATAAAAATTTATCACATTTCCATTCTCAGCAATTTTGATTCAGTTTCTCAGATTAAAGCTACAAGTTGAAATTAAGCTGTTCCTGAGCAAAAATAAAATGAAAGTGAAGATGTAAATCAGAAGCTACTAGAAACTTCAATCTGTTTCACTGGTGCTTGCAGAAATACTGTGCGACAGAGCTTTGTGTTGGAATTTTCAGTAACACAGCCATACCGTGAACTCCATCCACAGTGCAGTTTTCCTCACTTGACACAAATAGGTTAAGTGAGGAAATCTGTGCATAAAAAAAACTCAGCGAAGAATTGATGGAGCATGGGTCCTGCTACTGACATGTTGCTACCATGAGCAGCATTTGTTTTGTTAGACTCCTGGACAGGGTTTAATTATTATTAGAAGCTGTGATGTTGAAAGATAATTAATTCTTGACCTACAGTGATCATCTTGCTAAACTTTACATTGTTATCTACTTTAATTATTCATAGCTGTAACACAGCCCTGCATTCTCATCCAGTTATTTTAATGACTCAACATTATAAATCATGACAAGGACTTCAAGCTTCACTGTCACTTTAAGACAACATCTCCTAATGTCCATGGTAAAATATTCTTCCTTCATCCTCCAACTCAATTTTATTCCACACAATTATCATATTAGCTTTCTTAGTTATATTGCAGTTTGTATCATGCTTCATTATGATATAGTACATTTTGCTAGATTTGGCTTATTTTTTTCCACTTGTTTTTTTCTCTTTCCCCAAATACACACACACACACAGCCACACATGTATTTTTAATAAGCAACTCTGCAGTCCTCTAGGTTTTCACTCCAAGTAAATTCATACATAAGAATGTATAAAAAAATAACTTACCCTAGATTATTTCCTGGCTTTACTTGAAGCATGTTTTTATTTAAATTAGAAAAACGCAACTCCATTGTGCTATTCCTCTAAACAGCTCAGAATCAGTGCCCCTATGTAGGATACCTTAGAAACAGCAAGTATGGAACCACTGCAATTTCACAACACTAGGAGTTTTAATTTAATCTTACTCTTTCATCATTATTTCTGCTTTTTTGCCTAATAGGAGTAGTACTTGTCATTGAAAAAATGTCTGTTTAGAGACAGTGTGCCAGAGTAGGTTACGGTAAAGACTGAACTCAGTACCATTCCTCCGAACACTACTCTCAACTGAATAGCTAATTTGCAGTCCCATGCTATACTCTTGACTGTAAAAGCCCACACCATATTGTAAAAAATTTCCTCTTGTACATGTAACTTTTTTTTAGGTGATTTACCTTTTTCATATGCAGGTGTATTCTCTTGCAGCAGTCTACTAAGTTGGAACCCATTCAAGTGCACAAAACGCAGTTGTTCTCTCATCGTCCTGCCTGCCACAACTGGCAATATAAGGTTCCCAACACTGTTTCTTGAAATTGGTAGACCAAGACCTACTGCCAGAGTGCTAGCTAAATCAGTTTGTTGCACAACTTCAGGTTGTGTTAGAGGACCTAGAATCAACCAAAAAGGGAAAAAAAAAAAAAAGAGAAGAAAAAAAGTGTTTCAGTAACAGGCCCATTCTATTTCTCCAGAGGCAGCTGGAATTTTGTTAGTTTCAAAGTTTTTTCATTGGTGTTAGATCAGCTATTTGGAATAACCTACAAAGAGCTGAGTGATCTTTTTCAGCTGCTATCCTCTGCTGTTGTAAAACCAAAATTTATTCAATTCTCAGCAACTACTATGAACATAACATTAATATTACACCTGCAAAAAAACAGATGGTCCAGGAGACCACCTTAATACCAAGTTGCAGCCTACATCATAAGAGGGTTTGATAACTTTTACACTAGAAAAAATAGAAAGCACTACAGTCAACCAATATAATGCATTAACAAAGAATGAGAACTTAAAATAATCTTGGCAGCATTCTGGAAGGTTCCTGATATAATGACAACAGCTCAAGGTAGAACTAATATCAGGTTGCTAGGCAAACAGAATTAGAGGTCAGATAAAGAATGTTGAAGCCCAAATCCATGGCTCTGTGCAGGCAAACCTAGTGATTTTTAAAGGGTTCTGTGCAGGATGCCGTTACCTTCCTGCAGTTATACGGATTAGCCTTCAGTCCCACAGACATCTACACACATGAATGATTTCACGAATGTAAGTAATCTTTTGTTTAAGATTGTCTTGTCAATTGTTTCTTTGTATGCTTTACTAGTTACATAACACTGTTTTTCTATTATGCTTTTTCTTTGTTCTCTTTGTAACTCCAGGCACTGAAGTGTTTTGACTTAAGTACAGTACAGAAAGAATTTTATATGCAGCCTTTATAACTCTCAAGGGTCCCTTTAAGAGCATTAGAACCTCTCTCATTTCTCATGTAGTTCTGATTAATCCCATACTTGTACAGAATGCCATCTATAATCCCTAAAGCCTCTTTGCATGACTGCCTGCACGTCAGCAGTTTTCAGATTTCATCTTTAAAGGCAAGTTCTTAACTGGTTAAAGAAAGATAAACTACTGAATGCATTTAACCAATCATGGGTGACACATTCCTGTAGAAGGCTACACAAGTAATATTCTGACAGCATATTAAATGCAAAAGCCCACAGGATTACTATTTTGAGGTCTACCAAATTAACCACAGCACATTTTGTTTACAATTGGATCATAAGGAACAGTCACTAGAATTCTGATTACTGTAGCAATGAGAAGAAAGCTGCTGTGTATTTACATGGGCATCATTAAAAATCACAAACTTGATCCCAAACATAGGTGAATAGAGATATTTCACAATATTGTACAACCTGCATGTTTAAACCTAACAGAAACTAAACAGGAACAAAATGGGAGATTGCATTTACAGAATCTACGCTCTCATGGCCTGGTTCCCAACACATAACAATGAAATTTAGAAAGCAAAAACTTACCTGAGAGCTATCCTCAGCTCTTAACTTTGTTTTGGTTTTATACCTGAAAAGAGTTCAACAACTCCTCAAGCACTGCTTTCTACTGCAGCTGGATAACAGCTTTGTAAATGACAGACAGGTAAGTGTACTTCCACCATGCTGCAGAAACCTCTAGCAAGATAAACGAAGCAAGGTTCTGCAAACAAGGTTCGACTTTAAAAGCAAGGACTCAGACTGAAATGAGCAAAAGGCAGAATGAAAGGAAGAGGGAAGTGCTATTTTGGAGAAAAAATTCAGCCCTGATATACCTACATTTCACCAATTCACTCCAAGGAGTTTATTTAAACAAGACTATGTATTAGATTAAAGATTCTCTACCACACCATTCCCTTCTTGCCTCTTACCTTAAGCTATACTACACAGGTAGAAAATGAGTTTCAGAAACAGATAAACTCACAGAGATAAATACACAGACGAAAAGCAATTCCTCCTCTTTCCTGTTACACTCAGAAAGAAAAATTGTCATTCACTCCTGTATGCTGGCTGTCTGAGATGGAGGAATGGAGACCAGGGAAATATTCTAGCTAAGACAGACAAAACTCAGTTTAAATAGAATTTTATTTCTAATCCTATCCATTTACCACTACCCCAGGATCCTGACAACAGATCTCGTTAGCTCTCAGCACTCAAGTAGGACAGTGCTGCAAAAGGTTATCATCTGAGAAATAACCAATTCTCTGTGGGAAAGAAGCCTAGCTCACGGTTTCATCATGATACAGGTGCAAACTCTAGCTAAAACCAGAGTTTTAGGTCACACATAATGACCTTGCCAGATATCTCTAGAACTTTTCAGGAAGATTTCCAGAGCTAAAATAGAGACGGCAATGTGTTCTAAAGAACGTCAAGATTTTTTGATTCTTACCACTTCTCTTTTCAAAAGCAGAGCTGATAAACAGTAGTGGTGTGTTTTTTTTCCTGCTGAAGAACCACCATGACTACCTGTTTCAGACATCCCATGATCCCCACAAACAACTAGCAAATTGGGCAGAGAGGCTTCTTCCTGCAAGTCACAGAAATAAATTTAAGATGCTGTACAAACAACATGTGCATACATAATGCTTCACTATCTTTGTTATTTTCACACATGAATATTTCTCAAAATAATTTTCATTTTTTAAATTGGCTCACAACACCTGGGGCAGATTACAAGAGTCATCTGCAACTGTTACACAATGAAATTAATTTTTAACAGTTAACATACATGTATGTATGCTACACAATTTTCAGCATGTAAAAAAAAAAAAACAAAACAAAACAAAACAACCAAACCACAAAAAGCTTAAAAATCCCCACAGACAGTTACAAGAAATTAACTGAAGGATTAAATAATCATACTGTGGGGAAAAAAAAAACATCAGGAGACCAGGAGCAGTAGCATTATCAGAGAAATATTTGCCCCTCCACTTCTTCAACTTCCTGAAGTTTTTAATATGCTAAATTAATAATATTGTAACTATAAGTATAAATATAATAGAAACTTAATATAAAAATATAATCCTATTTCTAAGAGTTTCTAGTCTCTCAAGTACTTTTGGGGTAGAAAGACAACATAACTGATCTCAAATTATGTTTATTTTTCTGAAGAAAAACAAACACAAACATAAATGAAGCCTGTCCAACAATTTCAAGCTAACAAAGACAGCAGAAAATAAATATTGTCATTCCATAACAAAGCAGCTTTTTGTCATCTCTAGTCGCTACCAGTACCTCTTGTTTCCAAAAGTAGTGATTTTATTATTTCTGTATTCTAAAACTGAGATAAAGGTTTGCATATGTTTGGCAAAAGCAAAACATACTAACAGACTGCAGCAAAACCACTGCAATGTTCATGAGATCACAGCTTCCACAAGCAGGATTTAATCTCTCATGTCATACAATAGCATCCTTTTGACTAAAAATACTAATGAAATTTTGCGAGCAGCTACTGTGATCTGCAGCTGCCAAAATCAAATAAGAAAAAAGCTTCAGGCCACATCAAATTAGGACTTGGTATTTCAACACCCACACTATTTAGTTAAGTGACATCCTATATTTCCACATCTAAAACCAGACTCAGATTCAGTAATTTATGTGCTACACCTAGCCTAAGAAAAATTTTGATTACAACCACCATTGCCATTTTAATCTTTTCAATATCTAAGAATTAGGTATGCCTTCACAACTGTAGAAATCAGAGCCAACAGCTATGCATGCCCATTATTCCTTCTGCTGAATTTCAGTACTAGAAAGCACACCAACCACTGTTTTAATTTATGAGTGATAAGAGAATTTCGGCGTGCATTCCACTCCTCTTCTCGCACACCAAGGGGGAGTTACTTCCCACAGCTATTCAGAAGAGACTGCTAACAGATGTTACTAAGGTCAGTCAGTAAATCCTTAAAAATGCTACAATATACCATTAACTGGGGAATGGCCAGGGAAGAAAAAGAACAAAAGAATACTCACTTTGGTCTAGGACTAAACAAGCTACCACCCACAAACAAGAAAGCATTTTAAAGTTAGTCCACAACTAACAGAAACTGATCCAAGAAGGAGCTATATTACCTTCGAAAGAAGAGAAATATGAATCTTCTTCAGGATGTTATCCATTTCACGCAGTTTTGTTCCAACTAATGGGCTGTTTGGCCCAGTCACATGTCCAATATGGTCCAACCCCAGGTAATGCAGTATTAGGAGATCCCAGTCTTCTCTCTTGAACACTTTATCCAAATGCCTGGTAACATTATCATCAACCTCAGAAATAAAAGGAAAACAATTAAAAGTTAAAAATAATTTCAGTCTTCTAAAAAGCACAGAAAAATGAGATCACACTATCCACAAAAATTCTGTAAAAGCGGATGAGAATTACAGTCACTCACAATGCTAACAGGGAGTGGGGGGAAATAAAAATAAAGGAAAAAATCATATTGATTAGTTCAATGCCAGGCAGTCAAAAAAAAAAAAAAAATAACAAAAGCAAACCTGTCTTACAAAACAGACTCTTCACCCCATTTCACTTCTTTCTGGTCATGAGGCACCAGCTTACATACAAACAGAGAAAATGGGTTTCCATGCTTCCACAGATACTTTTAACAATTGCTTTAAAAATTTTTCAGTCGCTTTCATCCTTCACACTCTTGATTTATGACTTCAGAAGTAGTGTATAGGGAAAAGCCTCTCTTTGGTGCTTGGAAGCACAGGGTTAAAAACCCATTCCTCTTCTTTCCACTTAATTTTTGTTACTGTGCAAACACAGAAAGATTTTACTTGCTGTAAGTAAAGGACTAACAGCAAAAAGGAAGAATTACTCAAAAAGTGTTATTTGGGGCCTGATTCAGATGTTCTTCTGCTTAGGTTCACAACCTATTTTTAGCTGCGTATGTTTCTCCCTGGATATTAAAAAGCCTTACAAAATTTCACATACAACACCATTTTGATGGCTGTGGATATAACTCCCTAAAGTATAAAAAGCTTTCTGTTTAATGGACTATACGCAGCCTTTATGCTTTCTGAATAATGAGCTTGAAAGACATATAATTGCAACCAATTAAGTGTCTTCCAATGCACGTGTTAGGCCTATCTAACTTAAACATGGTAATAAAAATACTTAACATCAGTAGCAGCAGGTCAATAGCCTCAGGTTTTACAAAACAGAAAGGTTCAAAATATGATCTAAAATTGCCTAACCATTTACTCTTTTAGCACTCCCAGAATAAGAAATTCCATGTTTTTTGTTTCATTCACTTTCTATGTTCCCTGTTTAATAACATACTGAAACACTACTCATATTGTGACTAAAAAAGCAATACAATACAATAGAAAGTATGCCTCTAAGAATCACAGAATGGTTTGGGTTGGAAAGGACCTTAAACCTCATCCAGTTCCAACCTGCTGTCATGGGCAGGGACACCTTCCACTTGACCAGGTTGCTCCAAGCTCCATCCAACCCAGCCTCAAACACTTCAAGGGATGGGACATCCACGACTCTTCTGGGCAACTTCTTCCAGTGCCTCACCACCCTCGCAGCAAATTTATTCCTAATATTTAATCTAAATATACCCCCTTTCAATTTAAAGCCATTACTCCTTGTCGTATCACTGCTCGCTCCTATAAAACTTCCCTCTCCGGATTTACTGTAAGCCCCCTTTAGGGACTGGAAGCTGCTCCAAAGTCTACCTGGAGCCTTCTCCATGCTGAACAAGCCCAAGTCTCTCAGCCTGTCTTCACAGGAGAGGTGCTCCAGCTCTCTGAGCATCTTCATGGCCCTCCTCTGGTCTCAGGATTGCCCCAACACAGGCGTAGGACCTTGCACCTGGCTTTATTGGACTTCATGAGGTTTGCACTGTCCCACCTCTCAAGCCTGTCAAGGTCTCTCTAGACAGCATCCCTTCCCTCCAGAGTGTTGACCACACCACAACTACGGTGTTGTCAGACCACAAGAGCAAGATTATATATTAACTGACCCTTTAAAGATGTGATAGCAAACTGGAACTTCCTACCACAAATTGTGTGAGAATACTGTATGTTAGGTAAGTTATATGGTAGCATGCTCTTTATTACTGTATCATCCAAACACTTCCCACAGCATATGCATGAGGGAGTGAAATGCTTATCTCCACATTGCCAATACTGAAAATACATATAAATGCAATTTCTATTTAATTGTCAGGTTTGTATTTCACAAGGATAGTTGTACTCATCCATTCTTAAAAGCTGCCACTCACTATGTTTGTACTCGTATTATTTAACTTGGTATTACAGAAAGTCTCTCACCTCTGTAAAGTCTGACACAAAAAAGGATGTTGTTCCATCATATTCCACAAAATGCTTTGGAAACAATTTAACCCAAGTATCATCACCATAAAAGATTATTCTTTTCCCAGCTGTTTTTGCCTGCCATATCAGATTGTCATCCAACAGAGCTGGAGAGTTGAGATTCACAATAACATCAATGAAACCAGGTATGCTACCCGTCATCAAAGCCTACACAAAAGAGGAAAATAAAAGAGACATATGAACAGAAACCAAAAAGTTTCCAGTACTCAAAAGACAGTAACACTGTGTAAGAGGAACTAATGAAATAGACTGTAGATAACTTATACTTTCAACAAAGAAACAAAATAAACTAAAAGAACACATGAGCTGCAATGCCACATAACATTACCTGCCACAACACAGTGCTAGCTGATATCGGGGTAACTTCATTACAAAAAAGGTAGAAATAGTGTTTTCCTAATTAACAAGAGCAAAAAGACTTTGTATGCCAGCTGAAATTCGCTTCATTTACTAGTCACTAAATCACCAAAAAGAAGACCTAAGTAAACTGACTTAACACAACAATAACAATGGTAGCACATTCAAAACCTTAATTAAGCATCTCTTGGAAAAAGTAATGAACTCCATCTATCAAGAGTTACCAGACTGTCTCCCCTTTGCTCTCTCACTGACCTACCAAAGCTCACTCCTTCAGCTTCTTCAATGTAAGAAATGTCACTCAGATCCACCACTGAGAAGCCTGGATGATCAAGTACTTTGATGACACAGCCACTATATATGTATTTTAGTTACCTGGAATTTGGCAGAGTTTCATTTTTAAGCTCTGCAAAAACATTCCTATGACAAAACAAATTTACACTAAACTGGATTTCCTAACAGAAGTTATAAGAACACAGACAAATAGCATAGAACATGTTCTTGAATAGAAGACAACTGGAAAATGCTGTAACTGAGAGGCTACTGCCTTCCCATGATTACAAATAAAAAGATTGTATCAGTCATTTATGCCAGCACAAAGGCCTTAACTGCCCTTGACTGATTCTCACAGACCTTCCCACCACAGAGCTACCAACTTAAAGAAAAAACCAAGGCAATGTGACTGAGTTGAAGCTGCCACCTCTTCCTCTTGCTCAGTCCCTCTATTCCTTTGACCCCTGACCTGACCGTTTCTTCTGGAAGAACTTCTGGGCTACCACAAATCAGGACTCTGCCCGGTGCACTGTCCCATACAGGACTCTATCCCATACAGCAAAGCGAGTTCCAGCCACAAGTGCAATCACTAACGCAGCAAACCTACCCTATATGCCTCCAGGCATATGAAACAACCCAGCCTTAAAATCTTTCTCAGTTTTCAAGAGAGAAGCTACCCTAAGTGGAAAAAACACCCACTTACCTTAATTCGAGGCATAGTGACAGTGGGTGGCTTCGCTTCAGCAATGAAACTGTAGGATGCCCCTTTTTCAATAACTTGTTTAGTATACGGCATGAACTGTTCACCTTTGGACCCAAACACAAAGTCATCTCTCAAAGCATCTATCAGCACAATGACAACTTTTTTGAAAAGTGGTGGTGGAATTTTGGTCCAGTTAGAAACCATTCCTAAACAACAACAAAAAAAAAGGTACTAAAAGTCATTAATAAATTTTAACAGTGGCTGAACAGACATTAAAGTATAACTTCTGTACTAAATTTATATTCATAAGTGAGAAGTTGCAAACAATAGCAAACATGAGAAGTAATCAGAGGAAGCAGAGTTTTCAGGTCATCCAGCACAGGAATGACGCAACAAAAAAATCCAATACACCATCCAGGAAGTTAAACAAAACATGAATGGAGTGCACGATGTGAAGATAGGGAAACTAAGGAAAAACTATGAAACACAGAATGTTCACTGGAATAAGAAGGAAGAGCTGCCTCCTTCTCTCCAGCTAATTCAGTAAAACTGAAAAACATACATCCGAAAGACAACTTCTATTAGTTAAAAGGATGCAGCCTTCACCTGTGCTAATACCCACTTCTGCAACATCAGAACTTATTTCCATCAATGCCTCTCTGTCAAATCCCACCATAAGAGAACATGAGAATTATAAATAGATAAACAGGTTTGCTGAAATTTGAAGGGAAAAGATCTGGGCACACTGGCACTCTTCAAGGTAGAAGCCTGTATGCCAGGGTAGTTCAGTGATGGCAGTTTCAGGGCCAAAATCCAGTTCCAGAATCCCCTGGACATGCTACATGACCGAGCACAGCAAAATGCTGCTGCGCATCAGGCACCGTCATGCCTTCAAGCGCACCGCTTTCTCTTGTATGGACTTAATGCTGTCTGCAGCAGCTTCTCATTTGCATTGAGCTTGGTCCACATGCTGACATTTAGCTTTCACAGCAGTTCTTGGCCCAACCACTACAGGTCCCATGTCTCTACCAGAAAAACACACAGAAGGACAAAATGAAAGGAGAATGGATCCTCCCCACAGGTCTCTACTTAGACAACATTGTCATGAATCAACTTCTCAGTACATGCATTATATAAAATTAAGGGGTTTACACTCCTTCACAGTAAAATGTGTTTCTGAGTAAGTGGCTGACAATTCGGAAAGGTCACAGATAACGTTGTGTCTAACAAACAAACCTTAAAAAAACAATCTCAGAAACTGTGGGTTTGGGTAGATAGACAAGCATCAACAAATTGACACTCACAGACTCATTTTTGCTAGTGATTTTGTCCAGATAAGGGAACTGGGGAGTGGGACACAACAGGGGGAAGAAGTAAGTCTTCAAATCGCTAACAAATCGCTAACCTCCAGCAAACCTGATTAAAATGATAATGCTGTTTTTCCAGGACTTGATTTATCAACTTAGGGAACATGCTTTAGCTCTCAATGAAGCACAACTGGAGGTATTGTACTGTTAGTTAAATCTTTCTGGGCATTTACTCCTATCCACTCAATTAGGGAAACAAAACTTGCTGGACACCAAAAATCACAAACACATACATCCTTCTCAACTCCCTCTTACAGTGTTATTCATCAGTAAGTCAAAGTATTGAGCAGTGGAAAGGAAATAGGACTCAATGACAAGCCACCTGAAAATACTTATTATATGATAGCTAAAGCAATGCATTGTGCAACTCTTGGCATGCAACATGCTTATTTATCCCTGATGGTTATTTAGAAAACAATTACTTTAAAACAAGCTGAACCACAGGTTCTACCAAAAACTTACCACAACGAGGTAAGGATTTACTGTTATACAGTCATCCCACAGGCAAGACAGCATGGATTCAATGGCAGTCAAGACTCACAAAGCGAATCATTCAAGAAATTTAGAGCACTGGAGAAGTACTATTTTCTGACCAGATCTAAAGTAGACTGAAAGCCTTCTGTGTCATGGTTTCATAAGCAATGGTTTCGTAAGCAACCTTCTACCTTTAGAGTTTATAATCCAGACCAAGAGATAACTCTGCAAGCAAACTGACATGCAAGAACTACAGAAAGGAAGCATTCTTCCACTGTCACTCCATTTCTGCCTACATCTACTTAGAGTACTAGTGACATGCCTAAATTTAAACTGCACATAGAGCCCTGGGGCACACATTCATAATCTTCAGTTCAAAGCAGTCTTTTCAAAACCCAATTGTCAGACACTTCCCTCCCAGCCAAACAGTCCCCCGCCATGTTAGTCTCCTGATAATAATCACACGTGAATGGAACATTTCAGTCACAGCAGCCTATCAGACATCTCTGACAGTCTCGGTAATCTCCAGCTAAAAAGCAACCTGCCATTTGGCAGCATCCACACACTGTTACCAGATTAGACTCCTTCTGTGTTCCTGTTGAACTGGTATCAGCACACCGCGCTCTAAATTACACAACCTTCTCTTCCCTCTGTTCTTTCTCACAATTTAAGTAAGCCTGCCCCAAGATGCATAATGTCATATACTTTAGAAGGATTAACAATAACACACATCTAAAGGCCCAGTTTGGTAGTTACAGTCCTGTTCCACCAAGTTAACCATAAGTGGATGTACTGAGCAAGAGCTTTGTGTGAGCAAAATACTACTCAACTCAGCTGTCCACTGAACTTGAAGTTTCACCCAAGCCATAAACACTGGTAAAGAACCCTCCTTCAAGTACACATTCTTCTTTTTCACATTATTTTAATATAACATGTGACTGGACATAAGAGACAGCTATGTATCAGCACATCCTCTACCAACATTTCATTAAGATGCTTGAAAACTTTGGTTTCACAGTTTCACCTAAGGAATACTGAGCAGGACCTGCAGTGACCATGATTTCAGAGAAACAGTAATTGACAGCAATACTGTGCATTTTGCAATCTGACCAGACTGCGAAGTAAACCTGTATGAGTGCAGTTGCTTTCCTCACTTCTGAAGCGTCAGCGCGTCACTAAAGTGGCATTAAGACACTCACACACCACAGAAACAACGATTCTCCAGCACAACGCACCCAGTAACTTAACACAGCAAGCACATGAAGCATTGTAACTGAAATGGCATTATTTAATGTGAGCAACTTCCCACTAAAGAGCATCGGGATTGGGAAAGGGGACTAAAGGACAGAAAAGCACACCCTTCAAAAATGTGACAGCTGATGCTCAAGGCTTTTTGCGAGCAGGTTCTGCTGGCAGTGATCAACAACTACGTGCAGTATCAGTGAAGTTCTAAACGCCTTCGGAAGCAGGTGTGGAAACACGCTACAGACAGCTGTCCTGCCTGCTCGCACC